GGACACGCCCCTTTCATCACCCATCGGTCAGAGGACCCGCCCCTTTCCCTCCCCATCGGTCAGTGGACCCCGCCCCTTTCCTCACCCATCAGTCAGAGGACCCGCCCCTTCCCTCCTCCATCGGTCAGACCCCCAAAAAACAATCGCTCACAGATCCCCCAAAAATAAGCTTTATTTGGTCAGAGATTGTCGGCGGCGGTCATGTGCTGCGTCAGAAAGGCGCTCAGCTTGGAGACGTGCATGGTGTCCTTGATGGTGGTGTCTCTGCTGCGCAGCTGAATCAGGCCGCTCTCCAGCGTGGCGTCGCTGACCAGCGCCGTGAACAGGACGCCCATCTCGTCGTACCTGGGAGGGAGATCAAACGGTCATATTAAACTTCCACCGCATCCTGTCATTGGTTTTATCTCAGCAGTCACCAGCGCCGCGGGACGATTCCTTTAAGTCGTCATGGAGAATGTGATTGGCGGGCTACCCCCAAAGTGGGCGGGAACAGAGCGGGAGCGCATAAATACGCACACTGGGGCTGTGTTGGGAGGAAAAACCATACAAAGCCCATGCAGATAATGCCCTGGTGCCCTGGCCGGTATTTGAACACAGGGCCACAGTGCTGCATGGCACTGGGCCACTCTGCTGCACTTCATTTTGGGTATGGAACTGCTTTGGTGGCAAAAAGGGGGGGCGGAGCCTGCAACAAGGGTAACCTCGCTCATGTGTCCTGGATGCCGAAATCCACCCCCCACCAATGGCGGCGCGCACTGCGCGCTCTCCTATCACTCACTTGGTATACAGCTGCTCCATACGGGTCTGCAATGTTTCCAGGTATCCCGGCCAGACGGAGATCCCGCACCCCCGCAGCTCACCGCAGAGACCCTCACAGACCTGGAAATCGTGTACAGACCAGGCGCAGCTCCGCGGCACGGCCCCTCCCCATGTCCACCGCCACTTTCACCGGGGTCAGCAACGGGTGAATCTTCAGGACCTGAAAAGACAGGAAACGCGGAAATAAAAAGAACGGAGATGAGACGATACAAGGCGGGAAACGCTCGCCGCTCACCGTCCGCCGCTGGTCCTGGGGCGCCGGGCTCTCCATCACCTGCATGGCGTCAGACAGATAGGCCAACAGACCTCGCTCTACATCGCTGCTCAGCCAGACCGCGTGAGGGACAACGGACTTCCTGCCGTCCCGACCCTGCCGACACAGAATGGGGGGAGACGCTACAGATATGACACCCCGCCTCCTCTCCACCAATAGAAATGGTTCTGCCTTTAGACGTCTGCTGCATCCCTTCAAATCAATATATTAACACATGGGGGGGGTATTTATAGACAAATCACCGAGCCAATCGTCCTCCAGAATTGCAATTGGAATCTAATATAAAGTAAATACCACGTAATGGCCACTAGATGGAGCTGAGGAACATAGGAAATACTTATCTTGGCCACTAGATGGCGCTGAGGAACATAGGAAATATAGATCTTGGCCACTAGATGGCGCTGAGGAACATAGGAAATACTTATCTTGGCCACTAGATGGCGCTGAGGAGCATAGGAAATACTGATCTTGGCCACTAGATGGCGCTGAGGAACATAGGAAATACTTATCTTGGCCACTAGATGGCGCTGAGGAACATAGGAAATACTTATCTTGGCCACTAGATGGCGCTGAGGAACATAGGAAATACTTATCTTGGCCACTAGATGGCGCTGAGGAACATAGGAAATACTTATCTTGGCCACTAGATGGCGCTGAGGAACATAGGGGAAAATAATTATTTACTACTGCCACCCAGCTCCATCTAATGGCCAAGATCGGTATTTCCGATGTTCCACAGCGCCATCTAGTGGCCAAGATCAGTATTTCCTATGCTACTCAGCGCCATCTAATGGCCAAGATCGGTATTTCCGATGTTCCTCGGCTCCATCTAGTGGCCATGATGTGATATTTTCGTATTATAATGTAATAACATTGGAGAGAATTCTCCATCTCGGTGCTGCTGATCTCCTGCAGCCTCCTTGCGGCCACTTCTGGTCTTCATACACTCCGGCGATGTCTGCATGACATTTCTCCATGACAACAGTGGCACGTGTCTGTGTAATGGGTGCTGTTACATCCACCACTGGAAGACCTTGTGACAACGAAGGAGCGCAATTTGGACACAGTGTTGTCGCCCTTTAACAGGAAGTGTCTGAACAAGGACAGAGCATTGTCACCCTATAACAGGAAGTGTCTGCACAAGGAGAGAGCATTGTCACCCTATAACAGGAAGTGTCTGAACAAGGACAGAATGTTGTCACCCTATAACAGGAAGTGTCTGAACAAGGACAGAGCGTTGTCACCCTATAACAGGAAGTGTCTGAGCAAGGACAGAGCATTGTCACCCTATAACAGGAAGTGTCTGAACAAGGACAGAGCATTGTCACCCTATAACAGGAAGTGTCTGAACAAGGACAGAGCATTGTCACCCTATAACAGGAAGTGTCTGAACAAGGACAGAGCATTGTCACCCTATAACAGGAAGTGCCTGAACAAGGACGGAGAGTTGTCACCCTATAACAGGAAGTGTCTGATCTGACATGAGATTCTAGTGATGGGAATACAGATAAAGAGAACCTGTGCTGTCACATACCTGGAGACTGTTGATGGGCCCATGATGCACCTGGGTGAGGGCGGAGTCATCCATGCTGCTGATGCGTTCGATTGGCTCCTCCCCCCAAGGGAAGTCGTAGCGTATGATGGAAATTTTCCTCCCCGCGTCGTCATGATGGTCGGCAACGCTGAACCTGGACGGCACCTGAGCAAACTGCAGGGAGAGGAGGGGGGGACAAGGCATGATGGTGACACCGCTCTGCCAAATATTATATATAACCCCCCTGAGGGGTCTCCGCCGGTCACCGCGCCACATCAGTGATTGGCCGAAAGCATCTCCCCACCTCCGCGATCCCAAAAGGAAGCTTCCTGTTCAGAAGCTCCAAACACGGGAGATAATTATACAAAGCTCCTAAAAATGGGGGAAAGGTGAGAAGGTTCAGATTATGCCCCTCCCACAATGGTGAGATGTGTGTGTCTCTGCCCCTCCCACAATGGTGAGATGTGTGTGTATCTGCCCCTCCCACAATGGTGAGATGTGTCTCTGCCCCTCCCACAATGGTGAGATGTGTCTCTGCCCCTCCCACAATGGTGAGAGATGCGTCTCTGCCCCTCCCACAATGGTGAGAGATGCGTCTCTGATAAGGTGAGGTGTCCCTGCAGTCAGTGTCACCGTGTAGGAGGTCTTGGCGGAGGTCGGCCATCTTCTCCAGCTCCTCCCTGGTTGTGTTCCGGTCCAGCCAGGACTTGGGGGCGGTCCTTATCGTCGGTCTCGGTGACGGGGGGTCCGACGTTCCCGGCCGGTGACACAGAGAGTCAATGGGCAGAACCTGGTCTCGGCGGAGCGCCGTGGCCTCCCACCATTTCTGCAACAGGTTCCTTTTCATTTGGGCTCCCAGGGGCCCCAGGCCGTGACCTCCTCCTAGAACGGAGGGCGGAGTCGTCTGGCCTCCCAGCAGGAAGTTCCTTCGCCGGCACAGATCCAGGAGGTCACCGTGCGTCTGTTCTCCGGCCGCCAGCCTCCTGCACTGCAGCAATGGAGAAGCTGCAAAGCTCCTCCTGGTCCTCCGGGCCACTCCCACCGCGCACCAAGACATGGCGGACCTCCGTCACCTGACACAATATGGCCTCCGCAGTGGGGGGGGGGGGGGGGCA